AGAGGACTTTGACGCGAGGAAAATGGAACAATTTCTTTACATTCTAATGTAATACGTATAGGAGAAGAAACCCTGAACGTAAAATGTGACAAAAACCAGTAAAAACAAACAAACAAACAAACAAACAAGCAGAGGCAAGAGCCCAGGCTCCTGGCAGAGGTAGGATAGTACAGAAAGGCTCCAGGGTTGCCTGTTGTTCCAGGCTTTCAGATTGAAGAGCGCGGGCGAAAAATTGACGAGGAAAGAAAAAGAGGGGTGACTTAACCGCCGAAGCAAGTGTTTCCGTGCGGTTTCCGAGCAAAGAACGAGGAACGAGAGTAAAAAGCCGCGCGAAAATACTCCCGGAAGCGCTTGCTACGCAGGCTGGGGGTGACTAGCGGAGGGGAAACTACTCGCCCCAGTGTCCCCTGGTTTTCCTTGCGTAGGCTTCAACTCGTTCCCCACCATCTGAACTCCGCGCTCTTGTATCTGAACGCCTGGGACAGGCTAGCTCCGGAGTAAAAGGTAGGCCTTTCCCGATTGTGCTCGTAAAATGCTGGAAACTTTCTAACTGGAATACCAAAAAGTTGCTAAAAAGTTGCCAAAAATCCAAAAAGTTGCTACCTAAATTTGAAAAATTGCCACCTAAATTTTTTGTTATTGTTATATAGAGGATATTACACGGTGGCGCGAAGATATGAATTTTATTTTCGAGTGGCAAAACAATATTTTACTCACTCGCTGCGCTCGTTCGTAAAATATTGTTTTTGCCACGAGAAAATAAAATTCATATCTTCAAGCCGCCTTGTAATGTTCTTTTTATTATATAGACAAAAAGACATCGATAAAATAATAGATTTTTATGCGCTCACATTTTCAGTACAGCAATATAAGACATTGTTTACAATAATCTTGAGAAATAACACTGCGCTGAATAGGGCTCTACAATGACAAAATATAAGCAAAGCTTTGAAAAATGTGTAATTAAAATTCAAAGGACGCAAGACGCCTACAAATTTTTTGGGGAAATTATCGAAATTACGTCATTGATAAACTCACGTGTGAGATTATGGAAAATAAACCACTCGGGTCCCGGATGTACTTTTTATGAATTTTACTCGTGTCTATATAATAAATAAACGTTATTAAATTAAAAGCTTTATTTTTCGTTCTTCACAATAATTACTAACATCGGTCAAGAAGAAAAGATTTTAAAAACAAAAATTAAAATAACAAAAATAAAAATAAAATTTAAAAAAATTAACGTTTTGTATGAAATCGTTGACTTTTTTCGTGCTTGATATGTGGTCTAAACCTATATTTTGCTCAAAAGTTGCTCAGAAAGGCAACATTTGCCAACCTCGTTCCCAGGGTTCTCTCCTACCACCATGGGAACGAGGTCGAAAATTTGCTCGAGGTTGCTAGAACCACAAAAAGTCGCTCCAAACGCCAAAAGATGCTCAAAAGTTGCCGGGCACAATCGGGAAAGGCCTAGTAATACGCAGTCCTGATAATGTTAAAAGTTGGAAAAAAACGGAAAGAACAAAGAGGTCATTAAGAAAAAGGTTACAAAGTCTTATAATGGACAAGAAAAACTTGCGCAGTAGTCAGGATTTGGTGTCCATGAATAATGCTTTATTCCTCTATTACTTTTCTGGTTAAGTTTTACTAATATAAACGAGGCTTTATTACGTGTTTATTTTCGAACGTGGGTGGTAAGATGATATGAATAGATTTGGAAGAAACGAATCGTTCTGCACATAGAAAAACGGTAAACAGTAGAGGGCCAAGAACAAAGCCTTGTGAGTACTGATGACAGAAAACAAGAGACAAAGTTTTAGTCCTACTGACACAGGAGAGGGTTTATCATTATTTTTTCAGACATGAGAGTAGCAAAGGTGACAAAAAATGAAGTTGTTATGTTCTAAATGCCACTTGAGTTTTTTTTACCCCAGTGGCAAATGATAAAGTAGAACACCTTCCTGTCCCCTTTGATATCACTCCCTTCTCTTCCACACCCACAATAGCAGCTAGACCTCACAAACGGGATTGGGTTCCAATCGCCATTTGCACATCTCCTGTAATAAACTTTGTTTGCCTCCCAAACATTCTGTATATGCATAATGCATTGTCTTCAATTTCTCTTAGGACGACTGTATCCCTCAGGAGAAATTAAAAAAATTGGAGGGTGCAAACAAGGTGTATTACAAGAGATGTGCAAATGAAGAATGCTGTTTGCGAAAAGCGGAGTCTGCAATCCTGGACAAAACTCCTTGGGACAGTAAGAACATAACAGCAGTTCTATGTGTATCACACGTACTGTTCTAAAAACCATTCTGTCATTTTAAAAATCCATAACCCCTCCCCATTCCGCACTCAATACAATGTTGAAAGATCAAAGAAATTGTGCCTTGACGGTTTCAACACTGTCCGTGGGGTGGAGACGTGCAGTGCAAGTAGCGCGCGGATATAAATTTAGCGTGTGCTAAAAAGCGTTCGAACGGTACAACCATCCCAAGACTTTTGTCATGGATAATGCTTTTGTCCATGATTGTAGCTTGCAGCCGATGTTAATGCGAGGTAATAAGATGCTTGAGCCTCTATTGCAAGCTACTTCCAGTCCATTTCCGCGATTAAAAATGGGCAGGTGCAAACTCTCAGCATCGCTGGCTCATAACTGAGAGGATCTGAGGTGAAGCAAAGAGTTCTTGTGCACACCCAGCAGGATGTCATTCCTTGTCCCGGACTGATGGTTCAACCGTGTTTGAACCCGAGTCTCCCCATTAACAATCACGTGCCCTGCAACTGTGCTGTAAGTAGCCTGCGGGCAAGCTCTCCATTTGGGGGATATCGTGAAAAGAAGACGCGAGAGATACACGCGACAGGAGACGCGAAAGTGGGGGGCGTTCCCTCGCAACTTCGTCGCTCGCTCGCGCCTTCTCTCGCGACTCGCTTCGCTCGCCCAAATAGGAGAGCTTGCTCGCAGCCTATGCTGTAAGAGTAGCAGCGGTTCTCGTTCTATCCTCCCTTTCCCCCTTCACCTGTAAATAATGACTGTGTGCTCTTATCAGGACATTTGCGAGTATTTGTTTGTGAATATTTCAAAGGCACTTCAGGGTGTTAACGAACATTAAATTGGCAACCACCCCAAGAAGCCACGTTGAGGGAAAACCAAGGTACATGTAGCCACTATAAAACTCACACTGTAAATACACCACTTCCCTATTCTATTTGATGGTCTGGAACCAGCAAGAAAACGGGGATCATACAGGATTGAAGAGGAGAATCCCCTCCCCCGGCACGCATCGCATGTTCCTCGACTACAAGCTAGTTCCCGAGTTACGAATATGATCTGGATTGGGCCTCGGCCAAACGTCGAACTTTTCATGAGACGAACCAAACTCTAATTTAGGTCGAGCTGAATTATGTTAAGATCGTCTGTTGGGTCAAACGTCGAACTTAATCAGACCAAAAAGCTATTTTATAACTTTTTTTTCCCGAAAGAGGCTAAATATACATTATCATACAAATTTTTAAATGTGGCTAAATGTAATTTAGGCAAAGTTAAATTACAAGCCAATGCGATCAGCGGTCTCCTCCTCAAGCGTACGTGATCAGTGGGGTAACCGCAGGGGCCTTTTGCTTATCTTGTGACTTATCTTACATCTCATGCGCGCATTTTTGAGCTGATCTTTGCGGATCTGTTGCTTAAGCCAATCTTTGCGGATTCTGGCTCCCAGCCCGTCCCTCCCCTTCTGTGCATGGGTAAGTATAGGGTTAGTTGAGTATTTTCCACTGAACTCTTTCAGTGTGATGGTGCCAGTTGGCGGCTGCATGCAGGGGTGGTTCCCGCTCGCAGGGTTGCCATGGATACCTCCTTGCTATGACTGAGGCTTTCAGGCTCCCGTTCAACCTTTAAGGCACCAGTTCCCAAGCTCATCTATTGGCGATGAGTTTAATATTAGTTCAGCTAGTTGCATGTGAAGATCGACGTTTTCTCGGAGAATATCTTTTCCGTCTGCTTCAGATGGGCGATCCAAACTCATTCAGACGAGTGAACTTAACTGAGGCAGACGTCGAACTTTTCAGGAACTTAGTTTCGTCTCGTGAAAAGTTCGACGTTTGGCCTAGGCCTTACAAAAAAAATTTAAGACTAAGCAATTTTAATTTACAAACCTTTATTTCGTTGAGTTTAAAATGTAACAAGATCATTCTAAGAAACTAAACTTCACGCTTTTGTGCTTAAGGTAGTTTGTACTGTTCTCTCCTACTTGTTTGCAAGAAATGTTCATTGCTGATTCACAAATAAAGATACAGTCGATTAACAAGAGAATTGCTCCTGGATTAACCCCGACTAAACTAAATCATAGTGAAATACAGTTTACATATTTTAATATAAACTAACTTACAGTTTCTTTTCTGTATATGTCAATATCATACAAACTCCAATGGAATATAAGAACAATATACCAATCGTTAGTTACAATATTTATCAAACTCTAAAACTACTAGTAACTCATGTTGTATTAACCTTGGTCACACTGGACCAGATGGCGTACAAGTCACAATCATCAGTTGCAATATTTATCAAACTCTAAAACTACAAGTACCTCGTGTTGTATTAACCTTGCCTACACTGGACCAGATGGTGTACAAGTCACAATCATCAGTTACAATATTTATCAAACTCTAAAACTACTAGTAACTCATGTTGTATTAACCTTGGCCACACTGGACCAGATGGTCAACAAGTCACAATCATCAGTTACAATATTTATCAAACTCTAAAACTACTAGTAACTCATGTTGTATTAACCTTGGTCTCACTGAACGAGATGGTGTAAAAGTCACAACCATCAGCTGCAATATTTAACAAACTACAAAGCTACTAGTAACTTGGAATATTTGTAAGCTTTCCTTTTTGATCAACACTATTCCAAACTGATCATTTCTCTTTATAAATGTGTAACCTTTTTTTCGAAGCACAACATATTCTTGAAACATTTGGCACTTGACTTGATTTACTCTCCATAGAAAGTTATAGTGCGTTCAAAAGAAGATAGTGATCTGCATTTTAAACGAAGTTTACTAAAGTCATATATGCGACTTTCATTTGTAGCGCAATGGTTGTTAACGTTCAATCTAAATGTTGTCAACGAAGACCTCTTCTCTAGAAGACGGCAAATATTGGGTAACCAGTCTGCAGTGGCTTCTCTGCAGATGTTGATGGTCAGATTGAGTGTACTAAACGATGTGTTCATATGGTTCATCGCTTCATGCAAGTATGGGTCATAGCCTTTCAGCCGCTCACCTTCAGAGTACACATTTATTATAAGGGTGAGTGTAGTTAATGACTTGTTTAACGCTAAACCATCACGCAAGTCAGAGACCCACATCTCACAAAATACAGAACCGGCATTACTGCTGGTTGTCACAGTAAGAGAAGTTACTGTCTCGTTTTCTTCCAATCCTTCACACACACTTTCTATCCAGTAGTCACAAGGAGAGGTGTCATCGTTTATTGTCAGAGTTAATTCGTTTAATGATGCAGTTCGCGCTAAGCCATCAGCCAGACCTGTATACCAGTATTCAGACTCTTCGGAGTCAGCTGAGTAACAAAACGAATCAACCGAATCGTTGTCGTTCTCGTTGCCGTTTTCGTTCTCGTTGCTGTTGTTTTTGTAGTTGTTAACTGTAACACAGAGTAGGCACAATGAAGTGTTTTCCACCAAACAGTTTCGCAAAAAGGAACTCCAGAATTCATCCAAATTACTGCCATTGATTACAACGGAAAGTGTAGACAATGAAGTCATTACCATCAAACTGTCACGCAAACCTTCTTCTGCTGTCCTCTGCGCGCCATGATCTTCAATTGCAAGACTGAGTGTAGTTAATGAAGTGACCTTGGCCAAGCAGTTCACCAATCTACATTCCCAGCCTTTTGCCATGTTACTGTAGTTGTTGATCGCGAGATTTATAACCGTCAGAGAAGAGCTTCGCAACAAACTCTCCCCAAGTTCATTCCCTAAGTCTGCTGTCGTGTTTATTATGAAGTTGTTGATCGTAACATCGAGCGCGGTCACTATCTTGTTTTCTGCCAAAGCATCACCTACAAGGTTCGTCCAGTCTTGACTTGCACCATCGTCGTTAATGATTTTTAATTTGATCTTTTCCTCTCTGGTATTCTTGATTGTATTGAGTACTGACGGAAGTGATTCAATACTGTCGATACAGACATCAAGGCCATTGCACGATTCGTCCGGTACGACACAGACGTCATGAACATTTACCTCCACAGTTACGTGGTTATCCGATAGTCCCTGAAGAATAGTCCCTGTTCCTGGGTCCAATTCCCCGCAAACATCAATCGTCACGGAGCAAAGTGTCTTGTGTCGTCTAATATATCTTGCAATGCAATTAGCCACTCTATAAGTTAATTTTCCATGCACTTTTAAAGTAAGGCTTGTCAGTGGGGAAAGTACCAAGGCTTCAAATAGAGCTTCTGCCCCATCACAACCCAGCTCACCCCAATGGACTACAGTTAAATGTTGTTTCGTCTGAAAGCCTTTCTCAACCACATCCGGACCAGGACAAAAATAAGCCAACTGATTATGCGTTATTCTTCTGCACGAACCTGGGTAAACACTTAAAGTAACTAACGCATTATTTCCCAACCGAACACGTTCCGGAAGAGCTTGCCAGTTGTCTGGAACTCTTCCACGGACAGACATTTTCAAATCCTTTAGAGTACGATTTTCTAAAAGGCCTTTTTCTAGGACATTAACAGCAAAATTACTAAGGTTGCCATCGATGCCAAGATTGAACGACTTTAATGCGGGTTGTTGTGCGATTCCTTTACCGATAATAGTAGCTAGGAAGTCTTGCATATCCCCAAATATATTTAGGGAAAATGAGGTTAAAGATTCATTTGATAAAAGCTTTCCTAAACCGTTGACCGCGGTATCACTCAATGACCAACGAACGCTGAGGCTCACAGACGACAAAAGAGAGTCAGCAGACAATCCAGATTCAATAGCACTGGCCCAAGCTACGCCGTGTACTCTACGAAGTAGAAATTTTACGTTCTTCAACGATTTACGTGAAGCCAACAAATCACCGATGACAACAGCTGCGTCACAAGGGATACTGCCACACACTTCAAGAATAAACTCTGATAAAGTCGTGTTTCCAGATAAGCCGTTACGTAGGGCTATGGCTAGATCTGATTTCATTGCAGGGGTAAAAATGCTAAGAGTCTGAAGCTCAGAGCAAAATTGAATGTACTCTACAACAGTCTGATAGTCACTGTCTTTCAGCCTGGGTCGATCATGAAACGTGAGGCAAACTGGCTTCTGCACATTTGAAAACTTTCTAAAGGCCTCTAAAACATGATAAATATTATAACTGTAAAGAGGGTCAATCTCAACATGCGCGGGAAACGGTAAGCAGAAACAAAAGGTCTCTGCCATTTTTTCAGCATGTCCAGTTTCACTGATGCTTTTCGTAAGGAAAGTTGCTGCTTCCCTGCCTTGGTCCTCCTCGTCGTCATTGTCACAGTCATACCAGTCATCTTCCCTCTCTCGCTCATCCATTGTCACCATTCCAGACTGTGTGCAGGTGACCCAGTCCCATTTTCCCCAGTTTTTTAGCTCCTCACCAATCTGAGTGAATAGAATGTTTGCATCTCTCCCAAGTATACCAGAAACAAAAAGAAACACTTCTCGATACTTTTTCACTAGTTCATGAAAACTAAGACGCTCAAACANCACCAATCTGAGTGAATAGAATGTTTGCATCTCTCCCAAGTATACCAGAAACAAAAAGAAACACTTCTCGATACTTTTTCACTAGTTCATGAAAACTAAGACGCTCAAACAACCTTAACTGGTTTCCTCGCAACTTGTCAGCAATAAAGGCGGCAGCCAGGTATTCTTGGAACGTCTTGTGAAGAAAGTAGTACTCATGTTGGGGCATTAACCTCCTCAGACTTTCTTCCTTGTAAACTAGGCCTATGTGACGATCGACCAATCCTTTGTACCTTTTTTCAAGCGCAGCTAATTCACTTTCACGAAAACAATAGCGATCGCTCAGCAAACACAACCAAGCTAACTCTCCAAGTGCGAGAATGGTCTCTTCATATTGCTTCTCTAAGGCGCTGTTTTCTTTAGGAGCCTCTAGATTGTGTTTAGCGCAATGTCTCCTTAAAAGGCACAGTACAATAACTTGGTAAAGCTCAGAACGGGAAGACGGTAAATTCCCCTCATAGTCCTCATAAATAACACAAAGAAGAAGTAAATTTAGAGGATTATTTCGCAGGGCATGTAACAGAGTGTTTTCTTGAATTTCCTTAATGAGACTTTCTCCCTTTGATGAATGCAAGGGACCAACATTTTTAAAATGTTTTCTGATATAATCAAAAGCATCACTCTCTGTGAATCCTTTAATCTCCAAGAGGATATCGAAGCCGTACCTTTTCCGTACATCAATTCCCCTTTCTTGTCGGGAGGTAGCCAAAACATAACAAAATGATAAAATTCTTCTTTGCAGCAGTTTATCTACATAACGCTCGGAATCTTTGGGAAGCTCATCCAAACCGTCCAAAATGATTAAAGTTTTCTCCTGGTTATGAAAGTCTTTAATGAAATCAAATAGTCTTTCTTTAGTCTTCTCCTCCATATCTTCTGGCAACAGTTGTTCACTGATGGTTTCCATTACATCTTCATGTATGTCTCGACATTTCAAAAGCAACACGATCTCGAATTTGGGAAAAGAACACTCCGCTGGGATTTTTCCATGTGCCCAGTCACAAGCAAGTTTAAGGCAAAACGTAGTTTTACCGATTCCTGGACTCCCTTCAACAAGAGTCATAACATCCTCACCTTTGTCAAGAGCTCTGAAGACGTCGAACACATTCACCTCGTTATCATCCACCCGGAAGTCTGCTTTTCGCCTTGAAACGATTTTAAGTCTTGTGTAGACGTCATCCAGGGGTAACTCGATGGTGCTATCCCAAAGAAGTGGTCTTAACTGTGAGCGCCTTTTGTATGAAAAAGAAGATCGGAAGTATTTTTCATTAATTTGTAAAATACTGACCTCTCATTCATTTGATCAGTAGAATGACCGAAAATTCTTTCTACCTTCAGTGGCTTGTGAGTAAGTCAAAATATATACACCACCTGAAAATCTTTACCGTTGTTCCTTAAAATTAAGGAGCTTACGCAAAAGGACGACAGAAAGACTAAGATGTCGGCAAAACGTTTCTGTGTGACAAACGTGAATGGATTATCAATTACGAGTTTTGTCGTGATTTTCATTTACCGATAAAGTATTCTGGTCTTTTAAACTGAGATGTGTTTAAAGGAAAGTCAACTTTGGCGGAAAAATTTTCAAACAAATTATGGACACGTTTGTCACTCAAGGTTTGCTCTCTTCTTTCCTTCGGCTTTCTTTTGCGTAAGGTCACCGTTAGTGAACTCACTATTTGCTCTTTCTGGCTGTGCGTAGATAGGCTTCACAAGATAACGTTGAATAAGGAAAGCTAAGGAACAGTAACTATCGGACGGCTGGAGCTCGAACTAAATTTTTTAACTTATTAGTTAATACCGAATTCCTGTGTTTTATTTCCTCACTGCTTGATACAGCACCACAAAAACTAACTTCTTTATCATATTGGGATTAAATCAAAAAGTTCTAAAGTATACTGCCACAATTACTCTCCTCCCACATTTACACGTAAAACGCATTCTTTGTAAAATTACGTCGCCTTAAAGATTTTGCTTTTGTAACACATCATTGGTGATCCATCAAAGTCTTTAGGCAAATGTCATAACTGTCAGAAAGGCTTCGTTTATCTTGTCAGAGTTAACAAACTTCAGATGGAAAACTTCTTAACAGAGAACAAACAAATAAACCAAGAGGAAACTTTTTTATGCTGTGCCTCTGGTAGCGACGCAAAAACAAACAAACAAACAAACAAAAAACAAAAAACACTGAGTTGGGAACTAAACCGTTGACCATGCATAATCCTTCACTCAAGCAACTGTAGCGAGACTTGACTACGTTTTGGCCCAAAGTCTGCTCAAAATTCTAAATTGGCCTTATTGTAGCTTGAGGGTGTTAGGAAGGACGTTTCGAAATTGGGAGAGTGGGTCAGACGTGGAAAGCGTACAATCTGCTCCAAGCGTGAATGAGAGCGACTCAAGCCTTGTGAGAGCCCAACTTCAAACCGGAAGCAGGGCCGTACGAGCATCATAAAGCCTCAATCAAGGAACACAAAATCATCCACTTTGTGTTACTTCCGATGTAGTGTGTGATACTAGTCCTATAGTCCTTGGATCAGTTTTCAGGATGCTTGTCACGTGAACCTAGTTTAGTGTCCTTAGCTCCCACAAGTCTCCTGTAGCTTAGTGGTAGAGAATCTGGACTGGCAACCAGAACCTCATAAGTTCGACTCCTATTCGGGGAGTATTTGAATTTTTTTACGAGCCGCCTGTATCACAGACTGCGGAAAAACATCTTCCCCACTAAGATGGTTGTACATATACAATATACATGAAAAGAAACAACCAACCCTTATTCAAACTTGAACAAAAACAAACCTTACCTTCATCTTTCAATAGCCTTGGGTACTTTGGAACTGGAATGTTACTTGAAGATAACGGCCTTTTGCCTTTCTTGGAAGACTGGCGTTTCTTTGCCGAGCCTAAAATCAAATCAAATATTGTTTTTGTATTTTTCCCCAATATTATTTTTTAGCTTTACGCTACATACACTGATATTCAATCCTCATATCCATTATATTTGCATTTTTTTAAAAGAAAACATTCTACGAACTAGCCACATCTGTGTGGCCATTCTATTAACGAAGCTTGAAAAAGGCCTGTCACGCGTTCGAGCCCTGAACGTTGTAATTTCCAGACGCTACAAAGCTCTGTTGAATTGAACTAATCAACCAAAAACACAGAGCAAGAAAGACTTGGATTCTGGAGTCCACACTGGGGATTCCGGATTCCAGGTAATGGATTTAGGATTCAAATCGTTAAATTCCAAGGCCAAGGATTCCGGATTCCACAAAAAAATTCCCGAATTCCAGATTCCAGATTCTGAAATCCAGATTACCATTGGGTGATCAATAGCCCTCTTGAGCTTGTATGTTTTGTTTTTCCAGTAGAGGTCCCACGGGAACTTGCCTCTTTGTCTCTTTTTATGCGTAGATACATGTTTGCATGTGAATAAGATGTAATTTGAAAGAAACAGTTCTCTAGAGTATTAACACATGACCTGCAATGGGAAAACAAAACCTACAAGCTAAAGAGGTCTATTGTTACTGATCACCTCTACAATGCGGCAATGGTCAGCATTTAGAAGTCCCAAGCTGAAACTTTAACTTAGAATAAGCTATTCACAACAACCAAGCCTCTATGATAAAATACAATTTCCTTATGCTGAGGTCCATTACCTTATTTAGCATGAAAAACGTAAACCTGAAGCGAGTATTATTTCTCGGCATCTAACATTGTTAACCTGTAGCCAGTGTGAAAACGTTTTGACTTTGTACTGTAAGTCAGTCTTAAACGAGTCTCGTCCAATGCTTCGACCATTTCTTAGTTATTTAACATCCCCACAAGGAATAAGTACATCTCCCAGACCTTCCTGCATAGAAACCAATGAATTGCTCTTGTGGACATATTGTTCATGTTTCTAAGATTCAAGTGTACCTTTATAAAGATGCTTTTCAGTTGGAGAGGGCTTTTCCTCATGACAGATCACAGTGGCTTTCTTAGATAAATTCTGCTCATCTGCACTTGGACCTACATTACAAAAATCACAAATGTAGAAATTAATAATTCGTTACTTTTGACCCTCAGGGTTGGGAATAAGACCTTGAAAGGTATCGCGATTTTGAAACTCTTTGAAATTGGCAAATACACATGTAGGCGGATTTCTCTGGTGGAGTTATTAAAAAGAGATTGATAAATTTGTTGTTGTGAAGTTTTCACTATAATGCTGTCATTGTAATTGCGTGAACTTACAAATGTACATTTCCTAATGACAGCAGATTACACAATACCAAGACCAATTTGAATTAAAAAGTGAGCCTGTTACCTTGAGAAATGGCAAGCATTCGTTCCACAAGTCTATTACAGTGATCCTGCCAACTGTATACCTCAGCATACTCTCCTTGAAGAAGCTTGGCCTCTCTCAGTCGCAGCTTCCTTTTTTTCTTCCGAACAGCTTTGATTGCATTGGCCCAATCTTTAGGATCTTCTGATTCCACCACACAATTTGAACCATTGGGAACTTCTTGTAAGGTCTCGCCAAGACCAGAGTTACCACTGACCAGCACAGGCAGACCAGCAGATAAAGCCTCAAGGGCAGCTAGACCAAAGCCCTCAGTTCGTGACGGCATTATAGCAAGATCTACTTCACAAAACAAACGGGCTAACTGCTCTCTGCTTTCATTAAAACAACGCACAGTTAGTTGACTGCGATCAATGCCATGCTGGAGTAACAAATCTTTCACTTTCTCCTCTTTTCCACATGGAGCCCCAACAAACAACAGCTTATAGGGTTGTGGCTCGTCTTTCAACTCTGCAATAGCGCAGGCAGCGATGTCATATCCTTTCAACTGAAAGTCTTCATTGTCACCACGTCCAAACACTAAAACACTGAATGTTTTTCTTTCTTCAGTGGCTTGCTTTACATCAGCAAATTCAGAGAAGATGCCTGGGGTAAGATTAAGAACATCTTGATCCTTTCCACAGGCACGGAGATAACCAGAGAAAGCTTCAGCCAGCTTAGGACCAACGGCTACAACTTGATCAGCTTTTTCACAGAGTTTTACCTCAGCCTGGTGCTTTTTCTCGCCTCTTGAAATGGCATCTCCGTAGGACTTGTACATACCAAGCTCTTCAGGAGCTGTATGAACGACCTGAATCCACTTGCAAGGATGAATTCGTTTAAGAATCTGCACTTGCCGACCAAGAACAGCCCCATGTCCTATCACACAGTCCACAGCATGGTCTTTTGGCAGACAAGACAACCAGAGATTGGGTTCTAGACCTGGCATTTCTTCTGCTTCAATGAGAGTAACACTGTGACTTGCAGCGGCTCGTTTATCCTCTTCACTGCACTGAGGAAGATAAACACTGACCTCTACGCTGGGATGTTTTGCCAACTGAATGGCCAGCTCTCGGTTGATGGTTGACAAGCCTCCTTTTGTTGATCTCCATTCACTGCTTAAAAGAGTCACTCTCAATTTCCTGGAGGAAGTGGATCCTGAATTGCTTTCATGGTCTTCCTGTGATGTAGAGGCTGTGCTAGGAATGGATCGCAAATCCTGAAAAAGGAGTAGCAAATTTACCAAAGGGTTTTAAACATATAACAAAGGCTTTTTGCTGCTGGTAAGCTAATAGAAACTGTAATTAAGATGCGAAACTCAAGATTTGTCTTTCCAATGACTGCTGTTAGTAAACCACATGTGATAACACAACGAACCTCTCGTACAAGCGAGTACTAAACAGACATTTTAATTTATAACCAAGGCCCCAAAAGGTACAACCGAAACTGAATATATAATGTATAAAGCAGTACGTGCATATGAAGCATGAACACATAGCGTGAATATTTACAATATTAAAACACCACATAGGAGGTAAAGAAACATTTAGCTAAAGCGAGGTACATGTAAGCTTAATTATTCATACAAATTCATAACTATACTAGGGTCCCTTTTCCCAATACTAATCATTACACTTCGACTGTGTATAACTGACACAATGTGAAACAGATACTCATATTCCAAATCTTGGGCTACCTGTGGTATTACATGTACATGTATATCTCCCTAGTGGCGACAGGGTCAATAATATCTAACCAAAATTAGCATTTTATATAATAACAGAATTTTCTTGAACATAAACAGTACAATACTGATAAAAAGTTCAATTGCTCTTTTAATGGCTACGGGCAACAATGTTCATTATACACTGTACATGTATGTAATGGAAATCCCACTGTTTTGATTAGAGGGGAGATGACCTAGAAGTAAAAATGTCAAAGATGAGGTTCTTTCCTTGGATTGCCTCAACAACAATATTATTTTTTAACTGCTTTGCCTGAGTACTACACTGAAAACTGTCCCTTTAATTTCTTGAGAGGGAAAAGCAAACTTATCAGTTTTTCACTCAGCATTCCATTACAATATAGAGATACTTAAAACAAGCCAATGCCCTCACACAGCAAGAGATTATCTTCATTCTACGAGCATGAAGCGCAACGGGAGTCTTAACCTCCACCACCCCTCACCCCCACCAGGATAGGATGCTATATATAGTCCACCACAGCTTTGCTCCCTGTAATATGCCGCCAGTAAACACAAAAACAAAGAACTAGGAGGGGAAAGGTAATACAAAAAATAGTTTCCTGTCTAAGAAAATAAAGTGACAGCACAGAGTTCAGGGCTCAAATCAGTCCTCCCCTGATCCAGAGTCTGCAGCCCTGCCAACCCCTGAAGATTCATGTATCACCAACCAGCCCTCAAATTTGTTCTTCAATAAGTCAGACAGAGAGAGACTTTCGCCATCTTTCACAGGTCAGGTGACCAGTTGCCTCAGTCTGGCATGACTGGGGGCCTTAACAGGCACGAGTCTACTATTATCACACAGACAATTTTTTTTTTTCAATTGTTGATATTTGCAGAAATACTAGCAGTAACAAACAGTTAGGAAGTGCGGGCCGTGAATATTTACTTTATAGTTGTGATTGATTGAACCGCCTTCATAATACGGTGCAAACTCTCCTTTGGGACACCTCTATTCAAAGGACACCACTATTCAGGGGGCACAAAATTTGGTCCAAGAAAAACTTCCACATAATCTTTGCATTCAGGGGACAGTTCCCTTAGCAATCAAAAAGTGACTGACCACAAATTAAAGAGGGTTGATATTTTTAAGTGTACACTTATCACAATTATGGAAGCTTTCACAAACTGCACTTTCTCACTTAAATCAATCTATAACTAGACTCGCCAAAAGGTGAATTCAGTGGGCTGCTTCTGCTATTGAACGACTAGACAGAAATATTGTATTGTATGAAATCGAGAAGTTTACTAAAACAGACAGCCAACTGCCCATTGATCCTGAACCATGGGCCTCATTGACTACACTGAGACGATCCTAATTTGCAGTCTACAGTGTACTTGAAAACCGTTTTCATGTTAAACGCATTATTTTTTCCACAAGATAAAAGATACTCAGCTTTAAGATTTTTCTCTTGGTATTCTTCTCTAACTTAAAAGAATAAAATCCTTTGCATTTTGTGACCTAATGTAAATAGATGAAACGGTCAAAAACATATTTTTTTAACGTGATACTAATTTGAGTTAATATTTCGCTCAAGTTCGCCTTTTGTGTCACCATGACTAACTTCTCTTCATGGCAGAACGTTATGCCACTTTACAACTCCTCCGAAGTTTTTGTGCCAGCTAAACAATATTGAAACACTATTCACAGTCCTCGGATAATAAAAAGACTGAACGACGTACTATGTACCCTTGTTTACTTCCGATTACATGTGCATGAACTCTCTCTTTTCAAGCGATTCATCTTAATGCACAATAACCCACCCTACCCTTATATTAATTAAAACCCTTTGGTTCATTCATATTAATACTGTTTTTCCCCTCACATTTACTGTATTCGTTCGTATTCAAAACACCTTTACAAAAATAAAGGTCATGTGAGTCATGATATGAGTATTATGTTTCGAGATCAACCAATTATGGGCTTTCCCCAAGTTCCCATTTTGCGGTGGCTTCAGTTTATATATCAGTCAAATCGAAGTTTCAACATCCCCCCCGGGCAACACCCCGGGTATTTGACTTTTTGGAAAATTATTGTTCAAATCCCCCCTACCCAAACCAAAATGCCGTTCAAATGCCCCACACTAGGGTCCATTCAGGTGATCAAATGCCTCCATCCAGGGGAGATTTAAAAACTTTCCATATTATCCACTATGTAGGAGCTCTTAAAGCCGAGTCTGCATACACTTTGCAATAGACAGTACAGTTTTTATTCTAATTTATTCTGTAACTGCTTTATAATAAAGAAAACCAATATTAAACATACATGTAGTTGACAAATTTTGATCATGAATTATTAAACGTAACCTTAATAATCTTGTCCTTAATATTAAATATTGTCATATTTATATGAAATAGCTACTGTTCTGTTGAAAGTTTTGAATACACCAGTGTAGCAACCGTTGGTCATGTGATCAACTTTTTCTAAACAAAAACAATATTTTCTGGAAAAAGTGTTCAGGCGTAATAGAAGCGAATGCAACGGCTGCCAAAAAATAAAAGGGTTTTGTATGGGAGGAACAGTTTATGACAAAATCCACCAGGAAATTAAGTAGTTTTAATTTTCGGTGGACAAAAACCTTGTACCAGAATAATTTAAAGAATATTGCCTTTTTTTTTTTACATTTTTCAAGGGCTAAAGATGTAATATTGATGTTATACTACTACATGACAAATTTCTGCAATTTGATTGGCTTAGAGCAGTGGTATTTCAGCTTAATTTGAAATACCTACATGTGAAAATTACAAACCTTTTGGGGGTACTAGTATAAACAAATAATAGCATGATTTGTACGTGATATTTGGCATAAATACCACTCCTGATATTTCAAAATTGTGTCAAATTTCACTCGCCTGACGGCTCGTGAAATTACGTATAACAATTTCGAAATATCACTCGTGGTATTTATGCCAAATATCACTACAAATAGTGCTATTACCTATACTAATTTAACAGGGAAGAGCCACCCAGTGGATCTGTTAATAAACCATTATTATTATTATTATTATTATTATTATTATTATTATTATTATTATTAACTACATGTACTTCTTTTATAAAGGAATGCATAGAGATCAGGCCCCGGTTGTTCAAACATTGGATAGCGCTGTCCACCGGATAAATCACTATCCAGCGGATAGTGTATTATTGATTTCCGTAATACTTACCCACTGGATAGTGATTTATCCGGTGGATAGCGCTACCCAACGTTTGAACAACTGGGGCCAGTCTGGAGAATTATTTTGTATGTGGATACTGGTGCTTAAAGGGTTGAAACAAGCCATTGAAGCCCACACAGCAAGAGCTTATCTTGGTTTGAGTACAGTGAATAGACCTTTTTACCAATACGGCGGCCATATTGAATATAAAGGAGTATTATAGGATTCCCAGGGGGCATGACCACATTTCGTTTGTTTTTTCGAGCGCTTTTCAGGACATTTTTTTTAAGGTTTTCTTAGAGTAAGATTGTAATGGGAAAAAAGATCCTTGTGCCGTGTTTGGATGTAATAATGATCGCTTTTTTCTAGTTTAGTATTACAGAGATGCCAACCTCGGGAGATTTAAAATCTGGAGACTCTCTGTTTTCCATTAGCCCACTACCCCCGGAAATTTAGGACATTATATCAAGTCTTACATGAAGTAGATACCATCAAAATTCGCGATCATCGTTTTGATGCCAGATATAATCTTTGTCAGTGACTAAATAGGTGTAAAATGCCTCAGAAACAGTATTACAAACAAGAAAAATTCAAGTTTTGAACTAAAAATGGGCTAAACTTCAAACTAAGGCACAGAAAAGCTCAAAAGATTATTTTATCCGGGAGATAAAGCGACCCGTACAGGAGACCGGGAGATTGGTGTCGTAGCCGGGAGACTCCTGGATAATCCGGGAGGGTTGGCATGTATGGTATTAGAAATATGGTCTTTCACTGTATATTTCTCGGGAAAAAGGCAATCATTATTACATCCAAACACGGCACAAGGATATTTTTTCCCATTACAATCTTATTCTAAGAAAGCTTTACGAAAAAATGTCCCGAAAAGTGCTCAAAAATACAAACGAAATGTGCTCATGGGCATCCTATAATACTCCTTAAATCAAATTAATTCAATATGGCCGCTGTATCAGTAAAAAGGTCTATTGCCCCCACAGCATTGTCCCCAATGGTATGTAGCCAGTTAAAAAAAAAAAACCACAAAATTAAAGACCTTTGAGTGGAGAGGTAAAGTGAGCAATAGTTTCTTGACTAAGATCAAAGTGGCTGTGAGCCACAAAACTCGGAAAAAAAATATGTTCTCAGTAAAATCTATATTAGATTTTTAGTAAGTTTGATAATGGTACCTTTTCACCAGATATTTAGAATTAAAGCTCATAAAGAAATACTATTCAAATTTTTTCTTTACCATTTTTTTGCTTACGTATATGTTATCCCTTAGAAGAAACAATTATATTTTTGAAAAAACTACATAGTTTCCTGTAATTTCTGATAATGCACACGATCTTTTGAGATCGTTTTCTATGAAATAATTTTTTGACGTCTTAGATCACGTTTCATCTTTTAGATGTTACAGATCATGCCTGTTGCATAAAAGGAAAAAACGCAAAAAGACAGAAAAAATACTCAGAATACAGTTATAGTTATATGTATTATCTGTCTTACAATTTGTGCTTGGTAACATACAAAAGGAATGTTTAATTACGCACTATTAGAATCACTGAGAATTTAGTATTGCTTTTGAATGATATTGTAGTGAAATTTATTTTTAGCATGAAAACTTTAAATGGTTGACAAGTAAGTTTGGGCATATTTCAAAAAACTACCAGGAAAAACGGGTAAACAGTGGATCTATCAAGCACGCAACTGAAATTAGTCATGATGTCTTGACAATATGTCGTCATTAACAATTGCATTGTTTCTTCGCCTCTATATATGGAAAATGGTTTCCTTAGGAGTTTACAGATGAACAGACGCACTCAGCGGGGGGTTGGTGGTGGTGGGGGCTTTCATGTTTGGCTCACTCGGAATGTGTGCTCTGCATGGTAGAGGTTTATGGGATCAAAAAAGTATTCAATTTCACTATTTAGTGTCTTAAACAGGGTTGCAATAATATTTGAATGCATTTTGCCTTTAAACAGGATCAGAATCGAAGGGTTTCAGCAGCACAATCAAACTTCCTTTAAATTCCCCCCCCCCCCACCCCCAAGGAAAAGTTTCTTCCCCTACGCATAACGAGAACCTGGCAAAACCGGCTTTGCAGGTTTTTTTTTTGAGTTAAAAATCAAGAGAAGGAAAAGAGGGGGTTCCAATCAGACCTTCCCTGATCCAGAGTCTGACATGATTAACATCCCTCCACCAACATTCAAAACCACAACTAGAACTAATTCTCACACCTCAAACCTTACAACTTGTAAGATACCAAGAAAAATCAACCTTCACTTGACCAACACTATAGCTAACAAATACCGTATTTACCCGCAGATAGGCCACAGCCGCGTATAGGCCGCACCCCAAACTTTCAATGGTTTTCATGGGAAAAAAAAATAGTGAGGTCGAGTACCAGGATAAATAAACCGAAGTTTGAAATCAACAACAGCTAATGCGTTTCAAGTCAAATTTATTTTTGGCAATAATTTCTACATGAACGTGACAATATTCAAACTATAAACTGAAACGCCTTTTCACTAACATTTTATATACAGAATACTTAAAGACAAAATCAAGATTCTTCGAAGATATGGACTTAGTGTTTAGTTGTATGTGTTGTAAGTTAGTAACAATTGAAAGCAAACATTAAAACGCCAATTTAGTGTATGACCGTGAGATCTCTTGCATATTAATGAGGTGTCAAAACGCTTGTACCCGCGTATAGGCCACAACGCTAATTTCGGTCCCATTTTTTCGGGAAAAAAGTGCAGCCTATCCACGGGTAAATACGGTAATGAATTTTTCTTACCTCCATCAGCCTGGACATCACAGGAATCCTAAAAATCCTTTAACACTGCAGACATGAACACTATAACAGGAACAGAGAAAGAAAGTACACTAACTTAAGAAAGGTGCAACATTGTCAAGTACAGTATGTGGTTGTTGGTCCGCGCAAGTCCGCGATGCCCTTGGGCCGCGACTTTTCAAAAAATGATAAAATATTTCGTTGAGAAAAAGAATACGTTGAATAATGAAAGATATCATGATTTACTGATTAGCATTCTCGAGTTTCGGCTTTCTTGCTGTGGGTGAAGATGCAAAATTAGAGTTTGTTGACAGGTAGGTTAATTTGCCTTTCTTGAAGTTTGGATTTTTGCGGCACCGTGAATTACATGGTCATGATTACTTAGCCTGCGAATAAATAAAACACAACAGGAAGATGTGCCTTTTTGCAGAACAGGTTTTCAGATCAACTTATTTCTGCTGTTGGAAGCATATTGCTTTAGACTGTGAATTTTTTGTTTTATCGACTCTTGAAAAATATCACCAAATTTCGCTTAGCTGTCCTTGGTCCACGACCTATGACCTTGGTTGAATAAAACTTCGCAAAATAAAAAACGACAGCCTTTGTTTTCGAAGAATGTTTTGAAAATCGTCCCTATACATGTCTACTAGTTCTCTTTTTTTCATACCTCGAATATATACAGAGTTTTTGGTAATTATTTTCGACCGCGCTGAAAGCCGCTCGTCAACGTTCGTGTGGGAGACTCGAGGAGACTGTTGTCTGAAGTCTTTGAAAGAAGAGCAGATTATTTTATACTCACAACATCTTCTGAAAAAAACTTTAGCTTTATTGCATCAAGAAAAGAAAAAAATACATGAAATATTGTGAAAATCACGTTTTCGTGTGGAAACTATAACATTTTTACGTTTTTTTTGTGCTGCTTATCTGAGACGTGGACCAAGGACCATCGAAAACGGTCACTTTTTTTTCCAACTCCAAACAAAATATTTATGCCTGGAACTTGAAACTTCAGGATTATCGAGAAGAAAATAAAAGCTATCTTCAGGGAGTATTTCAGCTCGTTACATTTTGATTCAGGTAAGATATTCAAGTTAATGACTTTTAGACGCGGACCAAGGACCACATACTGTACCATATTTGACACTTTCCTTTTGTGAGAGTTTAATTTATATAATTTGTGGATTGGTGATTTTTTGTAACTTGCAACAACTTATTATTGGGATTGGTCCAGTCTGGTCTTTCCCCTTCTGAATCTTAACAACTGCATTATTTTATATTTGAGTCAAAATACAGGTAAACCAACATTTGAAAATGTTGTAGGTAAAATCTGTTCTCAGGGTAAACCAGAATTTCATTGTCACCTATACACTACTGTACATTTGTATGATTAACATGGGCTACAAAAGAAAGAAAATACTGAACCAAACTAGGTTTAAAATAATATTATAGTCCTGGCCCGGGTTGTTCAAACCCTGGATAGTCCTATGGATGAATCTCTAACCAGCAGATAGAGATTTATCCAGTGGATAGAGTTATTTACCTTTTGTACAACTGGGGCCAGGTTTAACCAGAGAAAAGATTTCACATACAAAAAAATAAAATATACTACATTATCTTTCTAAGTTATTACAGTTGAGGAGGTCATATTTTTTGCAGCAATGTGTTTACTGGGGGGAGTGGGGGGTGGTCAGGTTTATTTCTTACAGCTGTATGTGGATCTTGATGGAAACCACAAAAATGTCAAAAACCACCAAAATAAAAAGCCACAAGGCAAGATATAAATAAATTAGTGATAATTGGGCTGGCACTTTCAGGGTAACTTAATTTGCATTACAACTACATATAAACAATCTAATTCTTTTTAAAAGTGTATTTTTCAAAAGGATAACCTCTTTCTATCCCAACTTTATTAGCATTAATGAGTCCCTAAGGGTCAGTGACACAGAAAGGGGAGAGCCGCAGAAAATATTCGCATGCCGAGGAGAGGGGCATGGACAACTGAGGGTAACCATGATTACTCCTCCCCCCCCACCCCTGCAAGGCTTGTGAAGCTCAAGAAGGAAGAACACAGATTCTCCATTTATCTATTTATTTTGTTATTTAATTATATTGTATTAATCACTATAATTTGGCAAAATTTGGGTGGCAGGGAAGGCAGAGCCTATGCCCCCTAGGGTAGCGGTGTCCCTAGGAGGACCCCCTAGAGTAGCGGTGTCTCTAGAGGCAACCCTACATTAGAGTGTAACATAGGGTGGACCAGAAGAGGGGTGCCCTTCTGGAAGGAGAATAGGTCAGATGGTGAGTTGTGCCATCTTGGAGTAAGCAATCCGGACCTATTGCCAAGGAGGGCTATCCCACATACTGTGGGGTAAAGTGCAGCCAAGGGGTGCACTTCCCTGTCACCAATAAGTAAGCGTAAGAATTGTAAAATGTAGAAACACCTAGGATGTAGTTTTGATATCGAGCTATTTTTTATATATGTATATATAAAAAAAAAGTGGCAACGTAACGAGTAGTATAATGTGATGAACTATGAGATAAAATAACCAAACTAAAATAGAATACAATGAAATAGTATAACGTAAACATTTGCAGGACAAAGCACAGCCACAACGATTAGAGAAGACAAAGCTTCCAGTTGGGTGGGAGGGTGGGAAAAATACAATCTTAAAGAGTGCGAGTAGGCACTTGCTTGAAGAACAAAGCTGAAATGTGGCCGACTAATGGTATGAGGGGTTTACATAAGGCGAGACAGGTGAGAATCATGTGATATTGTGGAAAATTACTGGAAGCTTTGGCAACCACTTTAACATTGTAAAAGTAAAAGTACTTTGAGCTAAACAATGAGCTATTGACTACTGCACAAGCCTTGATTGCAAGGGTGAGGAGAGTAGAGTACACTAGGGACAAGTGAGGAAAGAACTAGTACTCCCTTAGGGCTCATTAACCCCAGTTAAGAGCTTAAACTTATAATTAATGCTTTTTTCAAAAGAGTATTTATCCCATGGGTATGCTGACAGAAGAAGGGGAGTCCTGGACTCCACTGTCTGAAGGATACTGAGGTGTACATTCCCCGGTGGGAGGGTACACATCCTTCATTTATTTAACCCTTTAAGCCCTAAGAGTGACCAGCATTAAATGTCTTCTTGTACTATCAATGCTTTGTAAAACAGCGTGGGTCATGAGAATTAAGGACATAATCACACAAGATGAATTTGCTTGATATTTTATCAACTTCTTCCCACTACTTCTGTAAGGAATGAAAGGGGGCAAGAAATGAGAATTCAAATTTTGATCTTAGGGTTTAAAGGGTTAACCTAAACAGGCATGTTCTGCTGAACAGGGTAGGGTTTACGGGAGTCTTACGTCTTAAACAAGTTATAAAATAAAAATTTCCATATTTAGCATCTTGAACAGGGTGTCTTTCATTAAACTTGAGCTTTAAGTAATGGTCAGCGTAAAAACTAGGCAGGCAGATGGCAAAAATATCAATTAAAAGGTGTTAACTTTTAATCATTAATTTCAATCAAATCAAGGGTTCTGATTGGCTGAAATTCAACAATTGCCAAAATAAACAGCGCGAAACGTGACAAAAAAAACTTTTTTTAGCTTTATTTTCCCCATTCTTCTATCTTTTACCTCGCGGCCAAGTTGAGGCATTGTTCTATGCGCCAATCAAAAGTAAGAGCGGAAAACATGCAACAAACATGTGACCTTGTTGTGAACCATTTTGGATGTGATATTTGAGATACAAGGAAATTTGTCTTTTACCCGAAGAAATATAGTCAATTTCATCGCTTAAATCTACATATCTCCCTTTATCGATTGTTTATTGCTTTTATCATTGGAGTGATCATGAAATTCCTACTGCAGCAGCATTTGCAGCTGTCCTCAACATGTCGTCAAGTGGCCACATGGACAAGTAGGACTGAAGCAGTTGTTTATGATTGTTATCAAGAGGAGCTCGCTTTGATTCAGTGATGATTCAGAGTAATAATTATTGTGGAGAATGGCTGGGCACAAAGAGTAGAAGCGATAGATTTGTTCTTTATACAGAAATAAATTAAACTTCTTAAAGCGATGTGAAGCCGCCTGAGTGACCTTGAGGTAAGCTGAACCCAATAAATTTTCGCATCTCCGCATGATGTGACTGGTAATTATTTTGTCCTTTTCGAAATGTCAGTATTCTGTGTATCTTTACTCTTCTCTGATTCGATTTGTTTTCTTTTTAGACTGTTCCGTCGAACTAAGTGCAACTTAAGACGAACAAATTGAAATTTGTGATTGTAATTTCATAACAGTTGTAAGAAGGAAACCGCTTAGTTATCATATATAATACAAATGTAGCTCTCTCTAGTTTTGAGTGTTACCCGGTACGAAAGATCATACAAGTTTGACTGTAACTGTTGCCTTTACTTTTTCTAAGAATGAAAGTAGGTTTTGCAGAATGTGTGGAGATATTTAGACTAATAATATATTTAACATCTAAGACTGCGAAGAGAGCTTCTTCTGAAACCGAATTCTCCGAACATCCATGAATTTTTTTCTGTATGGACAATCTTCTTTTTATTCAAATGCGGGCCATTAGGATTATAACCCTTAGACATCATTTTATGACATTGTTGTTTTTTATGGTGGCAAAATAAAAATGCGCGGCTTTAGCGCGTTCGCCATGTGAACTTGAATTACTGCTGTTTCCAATCATGGTTTTGACATTTAATTTCCTTTGTGAGAGCCGAAGTAGCTGTCTTTTACAAGGTCGCCGATTGATGTATTCCTGTGCCATTTTCATGTAATTTTATATCAGTTTAACTTTGCTTGGGTTTGGCGCATAGAAATCCTCTAAATTTTAGATATGTTATATTTTTCAACATATCAAAGCAGTAGACAAAATAAAAAAATGTTTGAATGACCCTTTTGCTATCTTAATTCATTTCTAAAATTCAAACTTTGCACTTTTTGCCCTCTTGACCAATCAGAGCATTCAAATTTAATTTGATTAGAGAAATTGGCACCTAAAAAGTAACTGTCGCTATTGCACTGGCCTATTGTTCTTTTGCCTAGTTCTTACACAGACCATAACGTAAACAGTGTGTGAATATTTTGGTGATCCACAGTCTACAAGTGTGATTCCATTATTATTATTATTTTAATCTAATCCCTTGATGCCAGTATGAAATGAGATTTCTTATCTTAAACAGGGAAGTGAAGAGAATGGTTTTTTGTTTAAATGGGATGAAGGTTTGAAGGCCTTTTGGCAACAAACCCCTACCCAAACTTCCCTTCAGTGTTCCCCCTGTCCCCATCCCCGCCACCCCAGGGAATTTTAATACTATAAGACTAAACATTTCTTCTGAAGGAAT